CAAGAATGTTTGGCTACATTATTTTGTGAATATTGTGTTCGAAATTATTTAAAAGCAAATTTTTCAAATTGGACGTCTGGAAATGATGATATTGATAAATTAATACAAAAATATCAATCAGAAACACTCCTTCCGAGTAAAATAATTGAATGGATACCATATAATAATTTACAAAATATTAAATACCTAACAGAAGGTGGATTCTCTAAAGTTTATACAGCAAGTTGGATTGATGGAATTTATAATGAATGGGATTCTAAGAAGCGACAATTAAAAAGATTTGGAAAACAAGTTGTAATACTTAAGAAATTAGAAAATGTTGAAAATGCAAGTAATAGTTGGCTTGAAGAGGTTTGTATTTCAAGAGTGTATAAGTAGAAGATCTATTTTTAATAAATTTTTTTTTATAGGCTAAATCACATTTAACTATAAGCAGTAAATGGCCACGTATTGTTGCCTGTTATGGTCTAACACAAGATCCATCAAATGGAAATTTCATGCTTGTATTGAATATAATGGATGTAAACTTAAGAGAATATTTACAACAAAATTATAGTCAACTTACATGGAAAGAAAGGATTCAAATTACTGTTGATATAATTTCTGCACTTGATGATATTCATGGGGAGAATGCAATTCATAGAGATTTGCATTCTGGAAATATATTATATAAAAAAAGAAGTCAGAAATGGAATATTAGTGATTTTGGATTTTGTGGCCCTGCAGATAAACCATTAAAAAGTATATATGGAAATCTTCCTTATATAGCACCTGAGGTTATAGCTGGAAAACAGGCTACAAAAGCATCTGATATTTATAGTTTTGCTATGCTTATGTGGGAAATTTCATCTGGACAACCACTATTTCTTAATTGCAAACATGATTATGATCTCATATTGAATATTATTAATGGTATAAGACCAAGAATAGTATCAGGAACCCCTTTAGAATATGAAAGTTTAATGAAACAATGTTGGGATGCTGATCCATTAAAAAGACCTGATGCTCGTACACTGTGGAAAAAAATGGATGAAATTAATTTATATTATCAAAAAAAATCAAATGAACCAACTCAATTGGAAATAAATAAAAATTTTGAAATAAATAAAACAAGTAGTTTTAAAACAAACTACGCAAGTAGCAGATCATCTACAAGTAAAGTTCATCAATTTGGATTTTTTCCTGAACCAAAAAATGCGACAGAAGGTATTAATTATCATATACTTAACATTATTTATAAAATTTAAAATATATTAATATTGTAAAATTTATATTTTTTCAAATTCTCAATTATAATAATAGAAGAACAAGAAGGTATGTATGAACCATTTTTATTTGAAAGTTATTTACCTATAATACCTAATGATTTTAGTTCTTTGTAGCATTTTATAGTAAATCATATGATGTCTTTCAAATTCCTGATAATAGTAAGTGTTTATTATGATATGATAATCATTAATCATTTTACTAATTGAATTTTGCTTTATAGTTGATGATTTTAATAATTCAAGTAATTGGAAAAATAATAGTACATCAAAAATGAGTAGTATTGAAGGTACTAATTTTACTAATATTAGATCTTCTAAAATTACAAATAAGTATTAATTTATATCTTAAACTTTTTTAGCTAATAATAAAGACGCTCAAAATGATCATGAAATTGAAAAAATGCAACAACAGATTAAGAATATCAATCTCGAAGGTAATTACATATTAAATCATATCAATTCAATAATATCATAATTTCTAATTTATTTATCTTACAGACGAAAAATGAAATACATAATAATCCAAATCTTCATTCAGAAGAAACAAGATGAATCTGAAATTCCTGATAGTATTTAATATCTTAAATTTTACATGATGTTAAATTACTAAATTTTTATAGATTTTGGTTTCTTTGAATTATTTTATATTTTTATATTTTTTTCTGAATAGTTTAAACACTGAGATTAGAGTAGCAAGATAAAATACTTAGCAATGTTTCTTAGTTTGTAATTTAAATTATTCATTCAATTTAGTTATCATATGAATTAACTTTTAAAATAAATTTATTTCTTTATGCAGTACTTATAAAATTCAAAATTAAAGTCAATTCAGTAGTCTATAATATGTTCTTTTAACATAAATATAAATTGTTTGATGAACTGTTTCAATGTCTAAAATTTATGATTCACAACGATATATGCTAATATAAATTTTTACAATGAGCCCTTAAATTTATTATATAACTAGATTAGGTTTATACATGGCGACTTTGTCACCGTCAGGCTGTTTAAAGCTATATTTTTATATGATTTATTAAATATAATAAAGTATTTTTAATGTATTTATTTATAATAGATACTAATACTATTTATAGTTTATAATTGTTTAATTTATATTTGAGTTTGATTATATTATTGTGTTTACACTTATTTAAATATATATTTTTTTATATAGGATTGATTTTAATGAAGAAAAATAGACGGCGGGTTGATTAGTAATGTTTGAAATGAAAAAATTAAAGGAAAATAAAAAAATTACGGAACATTATCACCTACCCGTATTGTTCCGTTTCAGTCAGTACCTCGTTCTGAAACTCCAAGACTGAACCTAAACTAGTGGGAATAAATTAATTACTAATATTCAAAAAAAACCATAAAACAATAGTTTAATTGGACATTTTCACCTACCCATATTTGTTCCGTTTTGGTCAGTATCCTCCGTTCTGGAGCTTATGTTTGAAATGAAAAAAAAAAAAAAAATTAAAAATTAAAAATTAAAAATCAATCAATTAGTAATATTTAAAATGGAAAAACTACTCATATTATCCCATTTCAATTGGCGTCCTCCTTTTTGGCTGAACCTAAAATAGCAATAAAGAAAAAAAAAAGAGCCGATTAGTAATTTAAAAAAAATAATGATTTCATATCTCCGTATTGTTTCATTCCTTAGGTCCAAACCAAACCTAAAAAGATAAAGGGTTTGTTAGTAGTAATAGTGAAATATGTAGAGACTTATCCGCAGCATTACATTATGATCTAATGAGTTTAATTTTTTTTTAATAATAATAAATAAAATAATATGATCATAATAATAAAAGATATGTAATCATTTATTTTTTACAGTTTTTTTTTTAGCCAGAACTAAATTACGAATTAGTCTACAACAATATTCACGGAACAAATTATTTTAACTATAGCAAAACGAAATAGATCAGGCGCAGAAATATCACGCGTTTTCATGGTAAATAATCCAAATATTTTTTTTCTATTTTATTGTATTCTTTCTATTCATAAATATTTATCTCACAAATATCTTTTTTTATTCTTCTATTATTGATTGTACTTTAACGTTTACTTACTTAATTATTTAATTATTAGCGTAACCTTTTTTTGCACGGCGGAGTTAAGGGAAGTTAAAATTAAATAATTTTAATTTTATAGCGTAAATTACAGTATTTTTTTAAAAACTTGTAAAATACAATAATACGTATAACAAAAATATTGGAAATTAAAAATGGAATTAAAAAATGAATTTGAAATTAAAATTAAATTGAATTAAAAAGTAAGTTATAAACTCCATAACGTTAAAGAACACTTTTAATAAATGGAATTGCCTAAAGTTAAATTCATATATCTATGTAAAAATGCATAAAAATTTTTTTTAGAGTTCAATGGAAAAGTCTCGTTTTCAAAATGGTTGAAATTGATGTCGATCACGTAATACAAAAAAATTCTCATACACGAAAAAAAATTTCGTTTCTTATATTTATGGTCTAAATTTTTTTATAGTTCTATTATATCTTTTTTTAAATATTTCAATAAACACACGTGTATACTACGAGTTTGCAAAGTTTAGTCAAAAATAGACCAGTATTTTTTTTACTCTTTAATTCAAGATCTCACTTGAATCACACTTAGATCACAACGAATAAAAAAGACACTACACTAACCAAAGTATTCTCAGGTCTTCTTTTGGGAAGCAGTAAAATGGTATCTTAAGACACTACATTACATATTTATATGAAAATACTCGATTTATATAAATTTTTTTTATTAAGTCTGTTAACTCATTAATAATCAAATTTTTATATTTATGGCTTTAAAAATAGAAAGAAAATGAGAAATTGTTTTAATAAGTTGCTATAAAGTTTGTCTATTTATTATTTATTACGTCGTATTATGGGATTTTTTATAAAATTTATCTAATTAATTAATCTTTTTTTATCTTAGATACTATTTAGTATAAGAAACTATACTTTGGGTGAACAAATCTAATCGAAATTTAACTTAAAACGATATATTTTGATTCTTTATCAATTAGATTATCTATCCTGTACAACTGTGTAATGTAATACATGCATGATTGTTAACGGTAAATAAATATTAATTATATCAATGACAGTAGAATTTGATCCCTTTTCTCGGTTATATTAATTCATTATTATTTTTTATTACTTTTATTTTAGATTTATCAAAATGAATTAATTCACTTTCAAATCGGATAAAATTAGTTTCATGGATTTCGCGGAGCAGATAGATTAATAAACAAAGCTCTTTTCTTAACAATGAATGTATCGATTGTATCGTGCTTTTATTAACAATCACCGGATCAAAGAATTATATTAATTTCTCTTCGCCAACTATAGTAATTTAATATGATTGTCGACCAGAATTATAACTAGGAGAACGGAAACCGTTGGAATGTCCGAAGCGCTGATGGATCGTAAGTAGTACAGACAACAAAGCAAATTTAAACGTACACGGAGCGAACGAAAAAAGGAGTAAAACGTGTTAGCACGACAATAAAAATGATTGGTGGATTACGCGTGCGGACAGACATACCTTGCATGAAGAGAGTCTAACCGTAAATGTCCTCAGAAAATGATTTATAATTCTTGTTTTCCCGATTCAGAAATAAATATTTAAGGGTTACAAATCACAAGATTATCTCTTTGTGAATTTTTTTTTTTCTCATAAAAAAAAAAAGAAAAAGAAAAAAATTAAAAAAATTAGTTATAATGGGTGATAATAAATTTTTGTCAAAATTATCCCAAAATTTACTTGAAATTTTGAACGATGAAGAATATTATGATATTACAATTGAAGTTGGTAATGATCCTAATGTAAAAACATTTCGAGCCCATATGGTTATTTTAAACTATCGTTCTCCTTATTTGCGAAGAATTTTGTCAACAAATAAAAAGAAGAGTGATGGAACTTTAGTACATATTAAATTGCCAAATATTTCACCGGATATTTTTCAAGCAATCTTAAGGTAGGAAGCAAGAATTTAATTATCATCATTATTATTTTATTTTATAAATACTTAAATACTTTATAATTTATAATTTCAGTTATATTTATGGAGGAAGGCTTGCTAGTGTAGGAGAATATGATGCTTCAGATATCATTAAAATCTTGATTGCCGCCAATGAACTTAATCTTCAAGAATTAGTTGAAACTTTACAGCTATCTTTGATTGAAAATAATGCAAACTGGATTGAGCAAAATTTTGATTTTATTTATCAAACGAGTTTTGAAAATAATTCTTTCTTGGAACTTCAAAAATATTGTACCGATTTAATGTCCAAAGAACCGGAAAAGATATTTAACTCTTCAATTTCAGAAAAAATTTTGATTTCTCTCATTCAAAATGATAATCTTCAAATGAGCGAAGTTCAAGTTTGGGAAAATGTTCTTAAATGGGGACATACGCAAAATCCAGAACTTTCTTCAGATCCTGCAAGTTTATCAAAGGATGATTTCAATGTATTAAAAAGTACTTTACAACGTTATATTCCTTTTATTAGATTCTATAATCTAACTTCTAAAGAAATTTCAGATACAGTGATACCTTACAGGGAAATTCTACCCGAGGAATTATACGTGGATTTATTGAAAACATTTTTAAACTTACATCCTGACAGCAAGCCTATTGATAAGTTGAAACCTCGTAATTTTCATAAACAAAAAAATGTTGATTCAAAAATCATTACATCTCAACATGCTGATTTAATCTCGAAATGGATTGATAAATTAGATATTACAGATAATTTGAATACCTCATATAAATTTAAATTAATATTTCGTGGATCTCGTGATGGGTTTGATCCTGATAAATTCCATGATATCTGTGATAATCAGTCTCGTACCGTGACAGTAATTAAAGTGAAAAATAGTAACGAAATTCTTGGAGGGTATAATCCGATTGATTGGTATGATAATTATTATCTTACCAAGAGTACCAAGGATAGTTTTATATTCTCTTTTGAAAATGTTGATAATATTGAAAAACATATTTTAAGTCGTGTAAAGAATGAAAACGAAGCTATATGGTATGCAAGTGATTGCGGTGCGTACTTTGATAACGACTTTGTTATGTATGGATATAATTTTTATGATGATAGTTATTGTCAAAAAAGTTCTTATGAAAAACGAATCAGAAACACTGAAAAAAAATTTTCTGTAGAAGAATTTGAAGTCTTTCAAATCAAAAAATGGTAATTATTCTATCTGCTATGTTTTGCAAATATAATAAATAAAATGTTACATTTTTCAAATATATTACTAAAGTTATATATGAATGATTGTAAAGAAATATTGACGGCTGTGTAAATAAAAAAATGGGGTTAAAAATTATATCATATATCGGATAAGCATGTACAGAGTACAATAGCTTATCAAAAAAACGTACGATCAAGACCATCAATCCTATAGGAAATATGTTTAAATTTAATAACCTTTTCTTTTGTTTTTTCACACAAATTTTCTTTAAGTTTATATTAAAGGGAATAGATACGTTAGGATCAAGTGATGGAAATGGACCATTACGCTAGTAGATGAAATCTCTTATACGAAGAACTTGTAATTCATTTTTTGGATTTTCTTTTTTTTTTAAAAAAAAAAAAAAAAAAA